GTGATTACATAAACTTTTCCTGACTACCTTTCCACAGTTTTTTTTCCCCTACACACTATGTTAGCAACAATGACAAAGATTAAAATATCAAATAACATTTAATGAGCATTTACTATGTGTCAGGCACTGTTCTAAGTACTTTACATGTATCATACAGAATTTTGGGCAGAGGGATAGATTTTAGGCAATAGAAACATAATGGAATGGGTGAATTTGGGGGCAAGATTTGAAGGAACTGTTAAGAGATTTATTAGGAAACTGAGTCAAGATATAAAAGGAAAAGGTGAAAACAGGACCAGGTCAACAAAATGTATAAATGTGTGTAAGTGAAAAGAGAATGTCAAAAAAATAGATCAAGTTGCCAAGGGCAAGGAGAAGTACTAGCCCACATTTGGATTTGAAGCTAATGAAACCAACAGTGATCAAAGGATGTTCATATTATCACTATTTGTGAATGGATTTCCTTCCAAGTTTCAGAAATAAAATTAGTATGTTCTATTTTGATATAACAAACAGACCAGCTTCTGGGGCCACACTGACTAAAATAAAATACATCAGATTCTTTAATGGTCCAGTGATATCTCTAAAGGCTTACATATTATTTTAAATATCTGAATAGAGCATTGTTCTGGAATAGTCACAGCATCAGTCCTTTGCATAAAGCAGAGGAACCAGTCTGAAAGCTCTATCTGCAGTGAAAGCCACAGGGCAATGCTTCATCCCCAGCAGCAATATATCGACAACGTGGTCTACATCCAACCTAGCTGCAGAGACACATGGGCTCTTAGCCAGACACAGCAGGAGATTCCTGATGACCAGCCAGAGGGAGTCCATGTAGGTGTGCTATTAAGTCTGACTTCGTTAGGAAATGAGAGTCAGGCAAATGACGTATGCTGAGAAGTCAGATCAAGCTCAGTTGAAAACCTGAAACCAAAGCCTAGACTCTTTTTTCGTGACCAGCAACGGATCGCAACCCTCGGTGTTGCCCCCGCTCCTCCCTCAGCCAGTGAGTGGCCGATCTGTATGTGGGATCCGAACCCTCGGCGGGAGCGCCACTGTACTTCCCAAGCGGCGCACTGTAGCAGTGCGCCACCGGGCCGGCCCATCCACCTTCTGAAAATAATGAAACTCCATCAATTATCCCCTTTTTGGCCTCCATCTTCAACCACTCTACTGGCTGCTTCTCCTCATTACAACCTCAAATTTCTCCTCTTTAAAAACCAGCCAAGGGCCGGCCCGGTGGCGCACTGCTAAAGTGCGCCGCTTGGGAGTGCGGTGGCGCTCCCGCCGAGGGTTCGGATCCCACATGCAGACCGGTTCCCGCTCACTGGCTGAGCGAGAGGCGGGAGCAACACCACCGAGGGTTGCGATCCCGTGGCCGGTCCCGGTCCGGTACGGGCGCGACACTGAGGGTTGCGATCCGTTGCCGGACACGAAAAAAAGGAAAAAAAAAAACAAAAACAAAAAACCAGCCAAACAATTACAACAGAACAACTCTCCCTTCATGTTTTCTTGCTATACATTCTTCACTGATAGGAATGAATCATTTATATTTCTTGCCTCTTCATTTTCACCTCTCACTCTCATCTCAAGTCATTGCTCTCTGATTTCTTCCCACTACCATTCAGTGAAACAGTTCTCAACAAGATCACCAATGACTTCTCAATCACCAGATTCAATGAACCCATCTTGTTATGGTTTGAAAGTTCCCTCCAAAATTCATGATGAAAATTAATCGCCATTATGATAGTATTAAAAGGTGGGAACTTTAAGAGGTGTTTAGGTCATGAAATCTCCACCCTCATGAATGGATTAATGTCATTGTCATGGGGGTGGGTTAGTTATTTCAAGTGTGGGCTCCTGATAAAAGGATGAGTTTGGACCCTATTTTCTCTGTCTCACACTAACTTGCCCTTCCGCCTTCCACCATGGGATGATGCAGCAAGAAGACCCTCACCAGATATGACCCCTTGATGTTGGACTTCCCAGCTTTTAGAACCATGAGCCAAATCAACTTCTGTTGTTTATAAATTACCCAGTCTGTGGTATTCTGTTAGAGTAGCAGAAAACAGACTAAGACACATCTCCTTCCCTATCTTACTTGACATCCCTGTGGCATCTATCTGGACATTTCCTTTCTTCTAGAAATCCTTTAATTCCATGGCTCCTTTGCCACTGCACTCTTCTACTGCCTAACCCTTAAATGTTGTGTTACCTGGCTCCAAATTTGGACACTGTTTTCTCATTCTACAGTCTCCTGGGCATCCTCTGTTATGGTTTCAACCACCACTTGTATACTGATATCACTCAAATCTCTACATTCTGCCTTGACCACTTTCTGTACACTGTACATTCAACTGCCCACTAAACATCTTGCTGGATGCCCCATGGAACTCTCAACACATCCAAAACCACTCATGATCTCATTTCCAAACTTGACCATTCTTCATGGATTTCATCACCTTGGTGTCAAAACTAATCAGCTGTTGCTTAAGCCAGAAACCAGGGAATTATTTTGACTCCTCCCTCTTCCTATCTTCCTGCCACCCAATGATTCAGCAAGCTCTGTTTCAGCCAATGCATTCTCTCCTGGTGAGAGTCCCTCCATTGGGGTCCTACCTTTAGCCTCTCACCTTCAAGTACACCTCCACAGTAGCCACCAGAGTAATCTGCCTAAACCCAGACTATGATCATGTCCTTCCTCTGCTTAACATCCTCCCATGGCTTCCAAGTGACAGGGAAGTCAGACCAAGCAGCTGACAGCTAGGGCTTTGGCAGCTAGTCAGAGGGATTTGGGTTTGACATAAGAGGATATAGGAACTATTGTACAGTTTCAGGAGCCAGGTGTGACATGATGATTGCTGCACACCGCACACATTAGTGGACTATTAGAACTGAGGTGAAAGGATCTAGACTTAAGTCTCCCACACTGAGAAAAGAGGAAAAGGTGAGCCTGTAGAACAGGTGAGGAAGCATAAATACCTAAAAAAAAAAAGGCGGGGGGAGGAAATTATGAGTCTCAAGTAGTAAGAAAATGCATTCGTAAAGTAATGTTAAAGCACTGGTAAAAAAGTAAACAATCCACAGGAGGTCTAGAGACATTAAAGCCCCATTATTGGAAGACCAGCACCAAGAAACATAAGCAGGAGTTAAACACACACACAAAACATTCTACAGGGCAAATGAGGGAGGAGGATGCTGGGAGAAACTGTAGCTTCTGTAAAAGGGAGAGAGGGCAGGGAAACCAGAAGAGGGTACAGACACAAACAAGAACTGTCCTTGTGACAAGGTGAAGGCTACAGAAAGTGAGCTACACGCAGGAGCTGCACCAGCCGACCCCTTAAAGAAGGCGGGATTCAGGATGATTAAAGAAGCAGCATTCATTGGGCAGACTCAAAAAAGACTCGAATTATTTTATTTACTCCTCACAAAGGAGGGTGTTAGGAAGATCCTCACTCTCAAAATGTCTTTGAAAGCAGCCAGCGAAGGAGTTCAGAGTAAAATAGTGGTAAATGCACACATTGTTCTAGACCTAATGAGCTGTATCCATAAATCACCAGAACCGAATGCCAACTTCAAAAACGTTGTCCAAAAGGCTGCTAGGATTTGAAACAAGTGACTTGCCAGAGCAAGTCCTTCTCACAAAAACTGCAGGCCTATGAAAACCACCCATTCAGACGCGTAACCTCTTATGGACTTTGGATTCATGTCGATCCACGTTCGAATCCCGACTGTGCCATTCGGCAAATGAGAAAACCTCTCGTGCCTCCGGTTAAATAGCTTGCCCTAAGTGGGTCACACTGCATTGTTAAGGGCCGACCTGGGGCAAGAACGCAACGAGGTCGCTGACTCCAGAGCGGTGCTCTTTCCAGCAGTCTGGTGCCCTCGCGCAGCCATCCCCCAGGCCTGGAGCGCCTTTGTCCCCCACTCACCAGAGAGCACCCGCCGAAGTGGCCGGCTAGGGGAAGCCGGGACGGGGCCGAGTCAGCGGGAGGTGGGCGTGGGTCTGGGGGGCGCGGGTGGGAGCGCCCCCAGTTGCCTCGCACCGGCGGGCAGGGTGGCGGCGGGGTGGTGATTGGCTGGGCTGCGACGGGCAGCTCCGGGCTAAGAACAAAAGAGAGCCGGCCGGCGGACGTCCTCCGGAGTAGGCGCTCCCGCCCGCTCGGCGCGGACTTCGGTGCCGGAGAGGACGCACCCACCGCCCGCCCGCCCGCCC